ACTTAAAATGTGCAACTATTTACAAACTCCAATTTTCTGATATAATTAGTCAATATGGATATCTGATTGTATCAAAAACTAAAACCCACAAAGTTTACTAAATGTTAAAATTTTACATAATACCTAAGTACATCATTGTAACATCAGTAAGTGCTGATAAATAATTGTTTGATTTGTACATTGTTATCTATATAAAGATGGCTCAAGTTGCTAGTTAAAAGTATTGTTTTCTTTTGGAAATAAATTATGTTTTGGTGTCAATCGAAATTATACAACTCTAAAATTGTGACCAATAATGAATTATTACACACTAAATGAATCTCAATTTCATTTTCAAAAATCAACACTAGGTGGATTATTGTTGTTTTTCTTGAATAAATACATACTATTCATCATGCTTCATGCATTCACTGTAAATGGGACAATGACATTCAATAATTGATTCTTAAATGGCTAAGAAAAACACACATTTTTGGAAAAAATGCATTGAATTATTATCTATCTGGTTGACAAGTGATATGAACAGTGATATAATGACCTAGAAAGCATTGAATATATTTTCTATTTACAAATCATGGTAATACCTCTCCTTTTAAGACAAAGCCTAGAACCACCACAGAATGGAAATGAGTAGCTATATATTTTATGTAAATGTATTAACATGATTGTGCAATATTAAAATGGGTCATGGAAGGAAAATAAGGATTCAAGGGGGGAACCATGGGCATTTGAAAGATCTAGGAAAACGTTTGTTTCTTTATTCAGTATATATCTTCGTCTGTTTATGCGCAATCCTTTTAAAAGATTCAAGTGGATGGGACATTTCACTTCTCCAGATCCTGAATCTATCTGAATCTGACTAAACCCACCAGTACCCTCAGGTAATTAGGCCTTGGGTCTGCGTGGTGGTTGAAATATCGAAGACTTGACTTCCCTACCTGACCTAATCCAAGAATAAAAAGCAAATACAAATATGGCCCCCAAAATTGGGAAAAGATTTACCTCATGCATGATATCACAGAAATTGACAAAAACAAGAGTTTAATGAACGAAAGCAGATAAACACATGCGTTCGCCAACAACATCGCAACAATTTTTGATCTATACCCGATGATGACCTTGGCACATCTATCCATTCATACAAACCTTTTTTGGACTCAGTTGGTGGTCCCCTGGAGCCAGGCACATTCCGATTCCCTTTTTTCTCCATCCCTATATCCTCCAGTCTTGCTAACCACGGTGTTTTTAAAGGAGTTGGATGCTCCTCCGTAAGGAGTGACCACGGCAATACGCAACACGGACGACATCTTAAAAAGCCATGTTTATAGATGCCCGATAAAAGAAAATACGCCTCTCGACAGTATTCTCCGTAATGCCAGTTGGTTGTTGAAGTGACGGAACGTTCTGGATGAAATCGTTGGGGAGTGGAAGACTCCCGGGTCGCCGAAAACGACGATTTCTTTTGGAAAAGCGCACTCACGATCTCGCCGCAACGATGGCGACGGGAAATTTAATTTTCGATTTTGCAATGTTGGATTGACACTGACAGCTGATAGTCGGTTGACAGCAAACATCCCAAACTGTCTTGGATTGCTGATACCCGATATGTACTCGCAGTGTGCTACAATGTTGCCAATGCAATTTTTCAACTGAATGTGGATCTAAGATGTTCGGAAACCAGACGCTGTGCTGTATGTTATGATATAAGCGATATGAATGCAATAGCTGGACTTTCAAGGCTATGAGATAACCCATTGATTAACATATTCTACCTGAAGATAGCCAACCTTATAATATATTGCCGCATCCAAAAAAAATATCAGAGGTGAAAAATATACCGTAGCGTCATCTACGAGAATTTGTCACATATATGTTTCTCCTCTCTGCACTAATCAGAAATCTACTTTCATAAGGTTATATTAGCATATGTTTTACTTCCTAGAGCGCCATCTTCTATGAGACACTAACCTCTACAACGGAGATTTCTAATTAGTGCAGACAGGAGAAACATAGAAGCTATGACAAATTCTCATAGATCACCACCAACCACACAGCGTCAGTCACGCAACACGGTTACGACTGGCAGCGTGTCGTATCGTGTACCGAGCTATCAAGGTCATAGAAATTCGCCCTAAAGCTTAACGTAATTTTCAGGGAATTGTGTGCTGCATACATATTAAATATTCTGTGAATGTCCCGCCCGCATACCGCAAGAGCCCAACGGCTGCTAATTTGCTTAAGCTAAACAAGCGCATCTCGCCTACGTGATACCCATAATTCACTAATATACAGGGAAAACCAAATTTGTCTGACGGCTTGAGTTCAATGTGTACGAGAGAGAAGCGCCACAAGTGTGAATCAACACATGCTAGAAACAGATAGAAACTGGCGGAAAGGACATCACCGCATTGCCGGTGACTCAGAAGGTCTGCCGCGTTGCCAGTATATTACACCAAAAAATGTTCGCACAGGCTGCTACAGTAGGTTAGGTTACTGGCAGACCCAAGAAGGAGGTTAATTCGAAGATTTAATCTAATATTTTGTTTCCATTTTGGTTAGAACTACTTATTTCAATTTTTATGGAACTTAGTGTTTTCATTTATCTTTGATTTCTACCGATGCTGATAAAATCAACACGTCCCGAGCTATCGTTACATTTTGCGATAGCACTGCAGTCGGAAAATGTAACAAATAACGTTACGCAATACAAATTATCATTGCCTGCGTGCAGGCACGTGAAAGCCATATTGAAACCAAAATCGCTCAATTATGATCATGGAGGTGGAAACCTTGCAATGGATTGTACTAGATGCGGTGTTATCAAACGAGCCAATGGTGCAATGCTGTAGAATTTGTCGCGATTCTGACCTTTCATTTCGACCTAAAATGGAGCGCCGTTTTAGGACCGATCGAAAATCAATCCTAAACAAATTCTACACAATTCAAAAATGCGTGCTCACAAAATAAAATTATTATTCACCCTTTAGGGTCAACTAACGCATATTTTCAACATGCATCATAATTCAAGGAACTGATGTAACATACTGGCAACGCGGTGATGAGCTTGGTTAACCATGTAGCTTCTATCTGTTTCTAAAATGTGTGTCTATTGATACTTCTCTCTCTAACACATTGAACTCAAGCCATCAGACATATTTGGTTCTCAGTGTATATAGTTCTCTCGCACATAAATATGCAATGTATGTACTTCTGTGCGCGAAGGTTTGTCTGTGTAAGCTCAGATATATATATGTATATATATATACAGGGTGACTTTGAAGTTGAGTCATTAATTTTCAGATAATGATTGTAGAAGGAAGATAAACCAAAATATGTGTGTAAAAATAAAAAAAAATTAAAAAAAATGTTTACCTTGTTTTATAAAGTATCCTCCCGACAAGTATTTCAGTGCGGACCTGTATTTGATCGTGAGGTCCCCTGTGAGGTCTTAAGTCACCTGATTCACGAGCCCGTTGTACTACATTAACAAAGGCACGAGGGGTTGGTTGCACTCGATTGGGAAACCGATCCGCATAAACATGTGCCATTTTTTATTTCGTTTGAGCCACGCAACAGACACTATTCATACGCGTTACGGACTGACACTGACTGTATGTATAACTGAACTGAATAAAATAATTGTAAAAACATCGTTCCAAATTCTTTCGCTTTTTTGTTTCCGATGCGATGAACCGATAAGGCGGATTATATCCGTTGTTGCCAAATACGAGCACATGATATTATTATTGAGACAGGGCGGTACTCAAACTTCCAAAGGGCTATAACTTTGTTACTTTAATTTTACCAGAAAAATGGTAAAGGAAAAAAACATTTCTTTTGATCAGATCTACTCACTGTTAAAATAAATGACTCAACTTCGAAGTCACCCTGTATATATATAAATATATATATATATATATATATATATATATATATGTAATTCTTTAGTTTCGTCTCGCTAACTTGAAATTTTTCTCGCCAACGCATGAGTATTCCCAATCTGTGCTTGTCACTGTCAATGTGATAGATAGATATATAGATGTTTTATTGTGTTCGGATGATAGATATGATTTAAGACTTATCATATAAAATATATTTCTATAAGTACCTACAACATTATCACCAAAATTTGAAAATATATTTAAGTAACTAAATACTTAAGTTTGTCGAAAAACTAGTGGTTAAAGTGGAACGAATCGCAGTTAGTGGAAAAAGGACAACCGTGACAACCCACTTGACATGGGCATTGAAACTTTTGAGTTTGCCTTTCACTGACAATATCAGTAGTTTTTGCCAAAATATTAGAATATCTTAAGGAAGAGAATGAAAGAAATAGTCCTTTATTAATTGCAAGAGCAGCTGCACTTAAGATCCGTTTGCCCAGTGTGCAATTTCCCTATGGAGCTTCAGCCCCACAAATAGTTAAATTAGTACGATTTGCTTACTTATTTCTATTGCATTGATGATTGTGCGTCCGTCACAAAAACTGTGAAAAGAACTATATACTACTGTTAAACACGGTGGCAGATTTAGGGTCTGTGGTACGTGGAGCCATGTATAGTGGAAGAGCCTGCTGGGACGTAATGATTTCGGAAGTATAAATTTTAACTACTTTAGGGCGCCATAAACCACGTTCTGGGGCCCACGTGAGTCCCGAGGCCCGACGCACTAATGCCTCACCTCAAATCCATATTTAGGAGCTATGAATGCAATCGCGAATAACACCTATGATGCGTTAACGTTGACATTTATGTCATAAAAGAAGCTAATGGATTATTTATGTTTCTCTAATATGAACGGATTCTGAAGTATAAAACTCACTCAGTCTATGTAAAACACGGCAAATTAGGGATATAATATATGCTGTTATGTGTGCTCCTTAGAGAATTATTCTCCAAAACGTAGAAAATTTGGTTAATTCGGCAGTGTTATAGATCTACTGCGAGTATGCTACGAGAACTGGAAGTGTGCTGGCAGATTTGATAATTGTTCCTAACAACGCTGTCAAACCTACAAGTTTATGTATAGATCTGGAGCTGGACACTGGTTCCGGATGGCTTACATAATTTTTGAGGATTTCTCAGTCGTAGTCGTTCTGTATATTTTTAAACGTCAAATGGAGATTATGTTTTAGCCTCTCCACGATCCCTTTTTCTAAATATGCTTCATATCCAGGGATTTGGAAATTGATAGTGAAGGAACAAGTTTAGTGTCCAAATATTGCAACTTGAAGTTGAAGAACTGGCAATGTTGTATTGTGGGTCGGGCCGTGTGTTTATTTTTTTTTCGGATTTGTATTTGGCAATAAGCTAAAAAACGGTATTTTATTGTGATGGCGAACTTGAACAGATCATTCGTGTATGGAATTGGCTTTGCCTCAGCGACATGGATCGTCTCCTTATACCTATATTTCCAAATAGCTAGACAAGACATGTTTCTAGCAAAATCATCTACCCAACCCCCTTGGGGTCTCAAACAGGATCTATTATCCTTTGGAGATGAAAAGTTCAATAAAAAATCATTCAGACAAAACTTACGCCCCGCTTTAAAGCTGCAGAAGTATCAAAAACCAGTAGATGAAGACCTGCTTGAACTAGGCATGATTAAGGATAAAGTAGACCAAAAAACTAAAGAAGATGGGTATAAAATACACGCATACAATATCCTGATAAGCAATAGATTACCGTTAGATCGAGATTTGCCTGATACAAGAAATCCTCTATGTAAAAGCAAGACTTATGAGGCAGACCTACCAAAAGCAAGTGTGGTGATATGCTTTTATAATGAACATTTCCAAACATTGCTCAGAACCATTCACTCGATACTGAATAGAACTGCATCCGAACTTCTAGAAGAAATACTACTGATAGATGATTACAGTGATGCCAAAAATTTATATGCTGATGTTGAGAAGTATATGAAAGAACATAGTTTACCTAAAGTAAAGTTGATGAAGACAGAACGCAGAGAAGGATTGATAAGGGCTAGACTTATTGGTGCTAGAAAAGCAACTGGAAAGGTCCTAGTATTCCTAGATAGTCACATAGAAGTCAACATTGACTGGCTAAGACCTTTGCTCCAGAGGATAAAAGAGAAGAAAACAAATGTTGTTATGCCAATTATTGATATCATCAATCCGGATACTTTTGAGTACACTGCAAGCCCTTTAGTAAGAGGAGGATTCAATTGGGGGCTGCATTTTAAGTGGGAGAACTTACCAAAACACACCCTAGTAACCAAGGATGATTTTGTAAAACCCATCAAGTCCCCTACAATGGCTGGAGGTCTTTTTGCCATTGACAAGAGCTACTTTGTTGACATAGGAGAATATGATGCTGGCATGAACATTTGGGGTGGTGAGAATCTAGAGTTGTCTTTCAGGATTTGGATGTGTGGAGGATCACTTGAGCTCATCCCTTGCAGTCGTGTAGGCCATATCTTCAGACATCGAAGACCATATGGCTCGCCAGATGGAGAAGATACCATGTTACACAATTCATTGAGGGTTGCCTACGTTTGGATGGACGAATACAAGGACTTCTTTTTGAATCAACGTCCTGAGTCGAGGAAAATAGATTATGGGGACATTTCTTCCAGAATACAACTAAGGAAAGAACTAAAATGCTATGACTTTGATTGGTATTTAAAGAATGTTTATCCTGAGTTAGCGTTACCTACTGATGACGAAGCAAGATTGAAGAAAAAGTGGTCCCAAGTTGAACAAGACAAATATCAACCTTGGCACTCTAGGAAGCGAAACTATGTGGACCAATACCAGATTCAACTAGTGAATAGTAGCTTGTGCATACAGAGTGCCAAAGATGTCAAAACTAAAGGTAGCAGGTTGAAACTATTGCCTTGTAAAAAGAGCAAAGCACAAAGTTGGTCAGAGACAGACAAGAGTGAGCTGGTTCTAGCGCAACTTCTGTGTTTGCAGTCAGGAAAAGTGGCGCCAATTTTGTACAAATGTCATGAGATGGGTGGGGACCAAGAGTGGAAACATAAAGGTGGAAAAAATACTCCTATCTACAATCTAGCGGCAGGCATGTGTCTGGCAGCTCAAAGAAGGGTGGTAAATGCAGCTGTTGTGATGAATTTGTGTACAGACTCGAATGGACTCAGCAATTGGAATCTTGTTCCTTGAATTCTTAGGATAGTTTTGTGAAAATCTCTTTTTATAATAAGGCTGATGAAAATATTTTATTTTGTATACAAAGTAATTTGTCCCCTATCATTGCACCCTGAAAATGATAAAACAGACAAACTGAGAAATGAATTTGAGGTAGTGCTATGGTAATGTTGTGCTATGTGAACTGTTGTCCTTTTGTGAAGTTCTTCTATCATTCCAGTATTTTGATATGTTAGTTTTTTAACTTTTATGAGTAAAGATTCATAAATTGTAGTACTTTACTATTATTTTTGATAACTTTGGCCAATATGGTGGATGCAATTTTGCAAATATGATGGATGTGAACGTCAAAAAACAAATTCTGGAGGCTTCAGAGTAAGCATATCACATATACCCTATTTCACGAGTATCCATCATGGTAGAATGACAGCTGGTTATCTAGTAATACTTGAAAATTCCTCATATAGGCACAGGACACATAATTCTGACGGATCCGTCAACGCCAGGGAGACAGAGTCGTATTTTGTTTTGGTTTTCTGTATGCTACAGAGTCATTTTGTACTTGCGAACAGCTCTTTTATTTAGAAAATACCATTTGCATACAAAAAACAAAACGCCACAATCAAGTTTCACTAGATTTATACCCGATTCATTATTGCCAACGTTGCAGACTAACATAAAAATGTCACTTGCTGATCAGCTGTTCACCTCAGTAGACGTCAAAGCGTGATGGATACTCTTGAAATAGGGTATATATTGGCGCATAACACAAAGAAGTAAGGTTGTCGGCGAATATTGGCAAAGCGAACCTCAAAATATATTGGTATAACAATTTCAGTTTTCGCAAGCCATTCTTACAGTAAAGTACATTTAAGTAATTTGGGGTGCTGAATATGATAATAATAGCGCAGCTTACATTACAATCCGCTATGAAACTCTCCTGTAAGTGTCATAAATGGATGCCATTTCGGCGGAGAATGTCGAATGTAAATTCCCCCAGTACAACGATGAAAGAGGTATTAGTGCTCAGCATAGTATCATGCCAGCGGCCGCATATATTTTTGGCAATCTGAAAATGATAATATTTCGGCATAATATAGTGACCGGGTGCTGCTGAGCACTAACTATTTTTTCATCGTTGTACTGGGGTTGCTTACATTCGACATTGGCCTTTCATAGTTGATTGTTATTTAAACTGATAATAGTAACAAAATTGTGAAGTGTGTGTGGCCTAATTTGATGTATACGAATGGGCGCCCGCAGGATTTTTCCTATGGGGGCAAGTATCAGCAAGAGGCAACCTTTTGTGAAAGTCTATCTGCTCCCAAATCGTTTGGAAGAGCGGTGGTAAGTAAATTTTCTTAGGGGGACAAATCCCAAAATCCTCACTATTATACAAAAAACTATGCTATATATGAGCACATTTCAAGCGCTAAGCGGGTTCTCAGGAGGGGTGGGCACTTTCCCCTCAGTCTCTCTCTGGGAGCCGCCATGTGCTCTCGCTTTGAAATATACCGAATACTCGGATACGCTTCTGAAAATGGTGAATGTTTTAACAAATCAGATTTCATTTGAAAATATGGTGGATTCATAAATAATATAGGTATCTGACCCATTCCTCTTGAGGTTTGCGGAAAAAAACTTTTGGTTGAGGCGGTTTGAGCCGCCCCTAACAACCTGCTGCCCCGAGCCTTGTCCCTTTCGACCCTAGGGTAAATATGCCCCTAGGTGCGAGTGAATTCTTTATAAAAGGAAATTGAGATTTAATACATAATTTCTTGGAATTTGATATAGAATTTTGGCCACCTTGATCGAATTTAAGCTGAAAATAGGGTATATTACGAAATATTTTTTTTTGCATAATTTTTTAGAGAAATGTGCATGTTACCAGACCTGCAATTGCGTAAAATAATTGAAAAACAAAAATTCCTAAAATTGTTTTTTTTCGTCCCAAATTTTTACTTCTAGGTTTTTTAACGAAAAAGGTTCTCATCAACTTTCTTCTAAAATAAATAGTTTTGAGAAAAATAATATAAAAAACGAAATACTTAATGTTATTAGAGCTCCTAAATATTCTTCAGGTATCCTTTAACAAAATTCCGAACAATTTAAGAGAACATTGTTATCGTGAACATTTGTTTTTTCACGCAGAATATACATTGATTAACGGTTGTTAAAGATTTACTATAAGAATACCCACTAACACGGATTGGGATTTTTTTATGGATGTTCCAAGAATACTCGGAGAAAAGTTTTTGCTATCTTTTTGAAAAAATTGTTTAAACAACTTTTCACGGAATTCTGGGTCTGGCAACAAGCAGATTCGTTAAAGGGAGTCCTTTTGAATATGATCCTACAAAAAATCGCATCAGTATATTTTTCCGAGCAGATGCGAATATTCTTTTTGAACCAAGAAGTTCAAAGGTAATTTTTTTTTAGTTTTAGTAAGATATAAGGAAAATTTTCACATATTATTCTCTTTGCGATAAACGAGGAATGTATACTAAGTGACATATAAATCCAAACACCCAGTTTAAATGGCTTTATTTTAATAAAAGTTGGTGAATGTATTTATCTTACTGTAAATAACAAGTGAAAAAATGTTCAGCCTTATCAGTTGGACATTCCTGTTTTTATACTGTTTTTTTTTAATTCACTAACGCTCTAAAAATGAATATTTCAGCCGCAGTATTTTGGTTCTTGACATCCTTTACAATCGGTTACGATGCCTAGAGTACGGAATCCTTTACGATTTCGTCAACTTAGTGAGTTTGATAGGGGCCGTATAGTGGGACTTCGGAAAGCTGGACTTTATTTTCGGGCAATTGCAGTTAGAGTGCAAAGAAGTGTAGACGCTGTGGTTAGGTGTTGTCAGGCATGGCTTCGAGAAGGCCGTACGCAAAGAGCAAGGGACACTGGACGCCGCCCGTAGAACAACAGACCGTGAAGATCGCCGCCTAACATTATTGGCCTTAAGGGACCGTTTCTCCACTACCAGGTCCATTGCAAATGAATGGTTTGCAGAACTCGGAAGACCTATTGGCATGTGAAGTGTTTACCGACGAATGAGAAGTTTTGGCTTGTTTTCATACAGGCCACACTGGGTTCTCCCTTTGACTCGAGAACACCGACGTAATCGCCTTGAGTGGTGCAGACAACGGTCACTCTGGGATCAGGAATGGAACAGTATTGTCTTTAGTGACGAGTCTCGATTTTGTTTAGGTATGCACGATGATCGTGCCAGGGTTAGAAGGCGACGTGGTGAAAGGAGGAATCCACAGTTTTTTGTTGAAAGACATGTTCATCACACTGTTGGAGTTATGGTTTGGGGTGCTATAGCTTAAGGTTCCAGGTCACCTTTAATCTTCATCAGAGGTAACATGAACGCGCAACGTTATATCCACGAAGTTCTAGAACCCCATCTTTTACCCTATCTTGACACCCTGGCAGATCGAACTTTCCAACAAGATAATGCCCGACCACATGTTGCAAGAGTCACAATAGACATCTTTCAACATAATGATGTCACATTGTTACCATGGCCACCAAGATCTCCCGACTTATCCCCAATTGAGCACGTGTGGGATATGATGGGTAGGAGATCACTCAATTTGCAACGTCCTCCTCAGACTCTAGAAGAACTTCGAGAGGAGTTGGTGGTTGCCTGGAATGAGATACCACAGGAGGACATTGACCACCTGATCAGAAGCATGCCTAGGCGCGTTGGAGAATGCGTAGCACATCAGGGTGCATCCACACATTATTAAAGGTCAAAGGGCTTTAAAGCAGTGCAATCATTTTGAAATTTTTATCATTTACTTATTATGCTTCATTAAGTACTTATACGAAAATTTTATTAACATAAAACCATTTAAACTGGGTGTACGGATTTATATGTCACTTAGTATATTATCGTTGGAAAATTGATATGTAAAGACATAAAGACAGAGCCGTCTTAAGCTATATAGGGGTTCATGGGCACACAGGAAGTTCGGTGCCTGCGTCTGGAAAACCACAAGCCAGAGCGAAATCTGGGGGCCCCACTTTGCCGTTGGGGTAGATTGAAGAGGGTCCGGGTAGATACCGAGGCATTTTGACTTTTGGGCATTTCTGCGCTCCCCATTAAGCTGAGGCCATGAGCCCAGACACCGTGAGTCCCTAGGCGAAAGACACTAGCATATACTCGTACAATATATTTCAGCTGTCAAAATGCAATGTTTTTAGGTATGAGATATCCCATTAAGTACAACGAAGTATGATGAATCCATACGAATGTATGTATGTATGTGAAAACGAGAAAACTAACATGACCTTAATGTGCAAAGCGAAAGCACTTACACCTTTTCTGCTGAAAATCCTGCTTTCTACACGACTACTATGAATGTTAACTTGAAGTTGGTAATGACATTGAATCCGCTTTTAGATAAAATTTATTTGATTAAACTTCATAAAACTACCTACTCGAGTGAAGTCGGTGTAGTTAGCAGTGTTATTTATGATAGCACATAAAACGGTGTTTAATAGTTTCTATGTGCCTGTTGCTTATAGCCGCGTTTCTGAAAATTCGTGTTTCATTTATTTTTTCATATGGTATGAATGGAAGGAAATATATTTTTCTCAGTATTGTACATGGTGTTAGTTTTTGCCTTTCAACGCCCATATAGGACCCGACCTAGAGTACCTAAAGTCCGTACCATCTTTTTTCAATAAAATGGTACAAATTCCAGTATCTAGACCCTAAAATTACTTTGTTAGAGCAATATGAACTTTCCGACCACTACTGCGCCCCCCTAGAATATTTGTGGCTCGGTGGTTGACTGGATTCACGATGCATAGATAGACGGACAAAACATGCACACACAAACACACCGTGTGCGCACGCCCGCGCTAGATACAAAACCAAAACTTGAACCAAATATGGAAGAAGGAAGCAAGGAAAATGAAGTAAATGTGCTTAAGTCACCACCACCTGATATGGAGGACCCTACCTCTAACAGAATGAACAAGGAAGAGTGATCCAGGAGGATGGAAGTAGGCTAGCATGCGCTCTGCAAGCGAGGGTTCCTCCAGCGTCTCATCCGAAAGAGCGGACGACCTCCGGCACTCGATGGCAGCGCGACGCAAGTCGATCCGCTCTCGCCAAGCTTTAAGTGGAAAGATTTCATTCCGACGGGCTGCATGGTAAAGCCTGGAAAAACTGAAAGAGGATTGGTAGGAGGAAGACTTTGAGGAAGGGGCCCCAGGAGTCTGAGAGGGCGCAAGTCCCTCCGACC